GCCAACATCTCACTGACATCCTTATTTCTGTGTTTTCTCAAAACACAGATATTGGTACTTGTTGGGTCTGCTATCCTACCCTAGTTCTTCCCTGAATCCCTTGGATGGAGCCCAGTCTGCCTCACTTACTTATTATGTGTTGCCTGCCCAGCCATCACTGCTTCTGATTTGCAACTCAAACTTTCTCAGTTTACTGGAGTTCAAGCGAAGCCCAAACTTGTTCAAAATCATACTACCTAATAATAATATCCGGGTCTCCTCAATTCCATGTGCAGACATTTATCAATTTCGTTTATCTATTTAACAATTGTTTTAGTGCTTACTGTAGCCAGACACATAGCGAGTATCAAAGATAAAGAGTCTCCAAGGTAAAAACGGTCTTTGTAATCAGAGTTTATAGTTGGCAGGGAGAGCAGATAGATAATGACAAGAACAAGGATGAAATTGAAAGAAGGGAAAAGGGAACTTTGTTGATGCTGTAGTACAGTTCCTGCTCTCATCTCAGCACCTGGTACAAGTTAATTGTCATGTGAGTATAAATGTTACTAGGGTTTGTTAAATAATGCCCTCAGACCCTATGGCCCCCATTTATTCAACATTCAATGGGCATCAGCACTAAACGTTCAAGAAACAGCAAATGCTGCATTTATTGTATTTCCTCCAAGCATGTCACTCACCCTTCTCCCTCTCATCCTTCCTGCCTTTGGAATTACCACCCGCAATCAGTGTGGTAAGCTAAGAGGGAGTCAAGTCAGTGACAGCCACAGCAGTGTGTGTCAGCTGTTGGGCAAGTGACAACCCTCTGAGCTTGAGTAACTGGGATACAGAATCAAAGCTAAACTAAGACAAGAGTAGAAACTAATCATGGTCAGTAACACCCATGACACCGTAATCGGACAGTAGTACAAGTAAACGGAATTACTTTCATATCTGACTCATAAAAGTTACTTAAACTGGGTCGTTTGAAACCTGGGCTCTTTGGAGAGATGGCTGATTCCAGATCTAAGACAGTAAAGATAAAAGGTTTGGATAAGACATCTTTTGGGCCAGAAAGCAAGGAAACAATCAGAGACTAATGTGGTAATGTCAAAAGAATTCAGGAGTCTTGAAGATAATTGTTAATTTTAACTTGCTGAGTATGGCAAAATCTATGAATCCATAGTGATAACAGAGAGAGAGAAAGCACACAAAGGCAGAAAGGCAGAAAGCTTGCTTTTACAGAATGATACCAAGTCATAAATGTAGAAAGAATGATAAAACTGAAAATCACCACTTTGCAAACCCCAGTGTAATAACTGAGCCAGACAATGATCATTAATGGATGCTAAAAACAGCAAGTAGTCCTTCTGGACATGATGCCCATACCTATAATCTCAACACTTAGGGAGGCCCAGGCAGGAGGATCACTTGAGCCCAGGAATTTGTGATTACAGTGAGCTATGATCAGGCCATGGCACTAGAGCTTGGGCATTAGAGTGTGTGACCCTGTCTCAAAAACAAAACAAAAACACTGAGTAAAATGTTGCCAATTCTGTCAAAGCATCACTCTGCAGGTGACCATGGAGAGATCTGCCAGTCACCAGTTCAACCAAGTGTCATCACTGTTGACGGACAACCTGCCATTATAATGAGGACACAACTATAATTATCCTTACACATGGACAAACACTGAGTCTAATCAAGGCATTTGACCCAGCTACTACTTTACAGAAAACAGAGAGATGAACCACTCAGCATAAAGAAACAATCAGGCAAACCCAGAATGTACAATATCCTAAGATGAAGGGATGTTCTAGATTTAAAGCAGTCAGAGACATGCCATAACCAAATGTAATGTGTAAATCTTGATTGGCTCCTGGATTGGGGGGTGGGGGGGAGATAGCTTAAGACAATCTTGAAACAATTGAGAAAATTTGACTATGGACTGAAAACTAGAAAAATGTTATTATAGAATTGTTAATTTTGCTATGTAAGATTGCATGGTTAGCTGAGAAAGTCACTCTTATAGATGCATGCTTAATTATTACAGGGCAAAGTATGATTACTCACAAGGGGCTCAATTTAAAAATTACATTTAAATATATAAAGGTAATGAGGTATGAACTGGTGAGTCTAGGTGAAGGCTATATTTGCATCCATTGTACTCTTTGTTCTGTTTGTATTCTTTTAATAAAAAAAAAATTAGTTATAAAGAAAAAGCTGGCTGGGTGCCTGTAGCTCAAGTGGCTAAGGCATCAGCCACATACACCTAAGGTGGTGGGTTTGAATCCAGCCCGGGCCCACCAAAACAACAATAGCTGCAACCAAAAAATAGCCAGGTGCTGTGGTGGGCGCCTGTGGTCCCAGCTACTTGGGAGGCTAAGGCAGGAGACTCGCTTGAGCCCAGGAGTTGGAGGTTGCTGTGACCTGTGATGCCACGGCACTCTACCCAGGGGGACAGCTTGAGGTTCTGCCTCAAAAAAAAAAAAAAAAGAAAAAGCTGCTGGTACATTAAAAAAAGCAAGTTCTTTGGATTCTCCATGGTCACTGAGGAAACAATGCTTAGAATAAAGCTGATCACTTTCAAATATTCAAATGTTTCTGGAGTTTATAAAGCATGCAAAATGCTTATCTTATAAATTAAAGTAGAAAATATCAGTATCTAAAATTATTTACATGGACATTATTTTAACTATCTGAAACTTACACTTTTATGAGTTTTAAATATGTTTCTCTGAACTTCTCAAACATAGTGTAATTGTGTCTTATGTTTATGATGGAATAATATGAAACATTAATGTCTTCTTTTTCTACTTTAAATAACCATACTTCTAATTAGGTGTAAGCATAGCTTCTGAATCAGATAAAATAATACCATTAAAATAAAAGGTTGACAAAAATTAATACCAAATGAGCCATAGACCTAATGAAAGTTAAAACTATAAAACTTCTAGAAGAAAACATAGGATAAAGACTTTGCAACAGGCAAAAACGTATTAGGACACAAAAAGCACAAACGATAAAACATCGCTAAGCTACATACTTCAAGAAAATATTAAAATTTTTGGTCTTTCCTAGCATTCTGTTAGAAAAGGCTGTCATAGATTGAGAAAAAATAACATAATACAAATCTCTTCACAAAACACTGGTATTCTTGCCTGCTTAAAATCCTCCTATGGCTTCCTACAGTACATGGAATTAGATCCACACTCTTGCCTGTCCCCTATAGTTGCATTTTCTATCTCCCGCCACCCACTCACATGCTATACTCTGGCTATAGCAGCCACCTCCCTGTTTTGCACAAATTAAAAGCTAATTCCTGGCTTAAAGCTTTTGTGCTTACTGTACCCTCAGCCGAAGATAATCTTTTCCTGCGTGGCTGACTAGCATTCTCCCTGTACCGCTCCAGAGTGGAGCCACCTTTTCACTGAGGCACTCCCTGACATGCCCCTCCAGCCACTTTGTCACCATACTGTTTACCCTACCTAAGTTTTAGTCTCTCTCCCCACAAGAAGATAAGATCTACTTTACTCACTGATACATGCCTAGCACACACTGCTTGGAACATTAGTAGATGCTTCAAAAGTATTTTTGAATGACTCAAGAAATACACACCATAGGCTGGGCACTGCACTGGGTACTTACTGGTTAAATAGTTTGAACATGTTCCTCCAAAGCCTTTCATTCTATTATCTTCTTCTTTTTTTTGTTCTTTCTTTTATTTTTATTTATTTATTGCAATTTTTTGGCTGGGGCTGGGCTTGAACCCGCTATCTCCAGCATATGGGACTGGCGCCCTACCCTTTTGAGCCACAGGCACTGCCCCATCCTATTATCTTCTTTTAGAAAAAAATATCTTGTACTCCTAGATTTGCTTGAATAGCTATGTACTTCTTAGTATTTTTAAGAGGTCAATTTACTTTCAAGTAAATTGCAAAATCTAGATTTCATCTGTATGTAGGATAAGTGCTCTGGCCTAAATAAAAGTGTTCATATTATTCTGAACTCACCTGCACAAGAATGACAAAAACAAAAGAAACACAAATGTGTTAGTGAGGATAAAAGCCAGCAGAACTCTTATACACTGCTGAAAATTAATCTGACTACTTTGGAATGCTACTTGGCAGTATCTAATAAAGTAAAATATATGTATTACTCCCTGACCTTGTAATTCCACACCTACATATATACCCAAAGGAAATGCATTCATATAGTCACCAAAAGACATGGGGAAAACATTGATGGCAGCACTATTCATAATAGCCAAAGAGTGGAAACTACTCAAATGTCCATCAACAAAATAAATTGTATATACATGCAAAAGAATACTATATACTAATCAGATAAATGAACTGAACACAACATCGATATATCTGAAAAATAAAATGTTTAACAAAAAAAGCCAGACGCTGAAGAATGCTAATTGAATGCTATATTTCGATTAAAACTTTACAGAAAGAGAGGAAAAAGGGAGATTGGAGCATTCCCCTGAACACTTTCCTACTGATGTTCCTCTAAAGTTAGATCCATGAAGTATGAAGTGGTGTTATTTGAAAACATAACTTAAATTGGCCTGCTACAATCACATTCTTTTTAAGTCTCATGTTTTATATCTTAAAATCCATGTGAATGCCCCATTCTTCATCCATATATACTAAATGAAAACACTTCCCTCAAAAATATTTGAGAAAATTAATATCAAAGGGAAGTGAGCCCTGCTTATCCTGTGGTTGCAAGCATACTGCCTCAGGCTTAAGCTTAAAAAGGGCCGGTGGAAAGTTTGTTAGCTATGGTTTGATAGCCTGGTTCGTATCTCAGATTCAAACTCGTTAGCAGTGTGACTTTGGACAAGTTCCCTACATATTTGCTCCCGCGTTTTCACGCATATAACAAAGACAATGCCTATCTCGCAAGGTTGCGTTCAGAGTTAAATAAGATGATGGAAGTCAGGAACTCAGTATCGATAACCTCTCTTTCCTACTGTTAAGCAGTACCCAAGGGGAAAAAAAGTCAACAAGGTGTTTGCGGCAATATATATGTTTTAATTCAAAGTGAATTGACAGTAATACACCATAAATTCTTATTTTGACACTCACCAAAATAGTCACCTGGAAAACCCGCTTTTTGTGACAAAGTACAGAAGGCTTGGTCACATTTAAATCACTGAGAACTAGAGAGAAATACTATCGCAAACCGTAATAGACGTTACATCCATAAAAATTTTCCCAGTCCTTATTGTAATATTGCACAGTGCAATTGCTACATGGCAAACTAGTGTAGCATAGAAGTAAAAGCAAAAACAAACAAACCAAAGAAAGGAAGCCACAAGTCTAAAGTTGTTAAACAGTTAACAATTCAAACTTAGTAATCAAATCTGTATCATTGAGTTCATTAAAACAAATCTTCCTACACCTTGCAGTGTATGATTTAACTTTTACTTAACACAAACCAAGTTTAAAATTAGCAGTAGAGATTTAAAAACTGAAAACATGTTGCTAATACAGTAACCTATTTAAACACCCTGAAGGAAAAAAAAACACTAAATATCAGAATATTTGATAAAAAATAATTTGTAAATTACAATAGTATATGCAACTTGGAAATCATGCAGTGTTTTATTTAAGAAAGCATTAAAACCAAAGAAAATTGACAAGAATGGTTTTTAAAAACATTTTAGGGTATAAATCCAGATTCTTTCATTACTATGCTAAATGTAGAATTTAGCATATTTTTGAATCTTTTTGTTTTTCAATGCATTAAAAAGCCCATGATTGCAATTAAGAGCAATGTACTTAACTTGAATAAGCCTTTATTAAATACTACTACTGTATTATGAAAATGTTGAATTCTACCATTTACTATCAATTTAACAGACTACTTTTAAGTCTTAGAATTTAAAGACAGAAAATATGACACTTCAAGGTAGTAAATATGGCCCTGAACATAAAACATAACTGTGCCACTTTTGTACCTGTCATGATACAATCAATCCTCTGCACTTGGTGTTTCGGAAACATCCACTGCCAGCATTGATTCTTTTCCAAGAAGTGAGCAGATACCAGTAATCTGCTGGACTGTATAAATAAAATTAGAAGGCCATGAAGGGCAGCAAATTTACTTAAATAGTGACTCCATAAATTTGTCATCTGTAAATAATCTTTTAAATTAATCTTAGGCTACTCCTTTTATATGCATTATTTTATATATATATATTTCTATTTATATAAAATGCATAGAATTGAGTACTAAAAACACTGAAACTTGTGGGGAAAATTAAGTCCTTCATTTTCAGTGTGACTAAAAATGTACTGCTGGTTTTTATTTTATGATCTAATACTGTAATTTTTAAAATCAATTTCAGGCACATTTATTTCACTGATGATTATTAAATAAAACACTGCTTGTGTCAATGGAGTAAAGAAAAGCTTATCCATCATTAGCTTATTGTCAGCGCTGTACTAGAGCTGTATTAGTGGTATACAATTCATTTATCAAAGAAATGCTGTAAATCCAAAACATCTACAGAGCTTTACACTCAAACACTTTGTTCTGTTTATTCCAGTAAATGCTGTAAGATTATATTCCAGATTTTTAAGGAAAAAAAGTTAAGTCAAGCCTGCAAGATACAGCTTTCTCAAGTGTCTACAATGCCAGTATGAAAATAAAAAATTAAGTTACATTGATACATCCAAGATTCCTTATATGCAGTGATGAGCACAAACAGTAATAGAGATAAAATACTGATGCAAATAACACACCCCAAAATAACATATGCAATTATTTTCCATCATTTACAATACAGTAGTTACAATGACACTCCAAACAGAAAAGCAAAGTAAAAAATCAAAATCCCAACTTCTATTTCATGTAATTAGACTTATACAGAAATTAGAAGGCTAAATAACAACTAGTTAATCACCTAATTTCACAGCTATCTGAAGTGGCAATCGTTATATAGCAGCTTATCTATGATACATTCAAGATAAATGATACAATTTATTACTTGCCTGTAAGCTAAACACAGCCTCAGTTAATACCTTTCCTTAAATTCCACCTCTACACTACAATATACTTGAGGTCTATGCAAAAAGTATAGGAAATGGATGATTAAGTCTTTGGTGCTGTAAAAGCAACTTCATTTAAACATAACCACCACCATCACCACCACCACCACCCCCACAAAAAAAGGAAGGAGGGGAGGAAAAAAACCCAAGACACACTTTCTAGAAAAAAAAAGAGCATGTAATTTCTGTCCCTGACGGAATGTATTAAATAAGCAAACATCACCAACAAGCAAAACAAGTACTGCAATGTAAAAATTCTTTAAAAAAAAAAACCCTCTCACATGCATAAATGAAAAATTGCACACAAAGAACTCACATCTTTTCAAGCTTCAATAGTAAGTATTCTGCTACTATTTATTAAATACTGCATGGTTTGCCCAAGCTAAGATAAAACCACATCATGAATCAGTGAGCATTTTGCATTTTCTTTCATTATCTATTCAAAGTCATGCCTACTGCACCTCTAAACATCTTAAGTCCGATTATACAGCAAACACTCTCAAAATAAACTTAAGATTGTATTGCAGTTTCACTTAATAGTATATAAAATGCTGTGCTGTGACAGTTATTAACTATCCATTAGATACTGAATCAATTTTTCTTAAGCACTACCGACTGCTTGCTTTTCATGAAGCTAGATCATTTTGAAAAATCAGACAGCAGAATTCAGCTATAGCAAACATGCTGCCCTCTTAGTAAGGAAAAAACAGCTACTACCTGAAATCATACCACACAAAACCAAAAATGAACATTACTCTATCAAAAGAAAACTAAAGAGTAGGTCTGAATTTGAACTTTAAGTGCTGCAGTCCTCAACATTTATATATAAGTAATAACATTAACAACCTCAAATATTTAAGGCACTATGTGTGGAAACGGTTTACAATGCAGCTGAGATTATTAGAACAACATTTAAGAGCAAAGTCTAGGCAACATTTTGCCCATGCAAAAGACACATGCAAATGTAAAGAACAATAGCTCAATTTCTTAGGGAAGTGACCCAACATTTATACACTAAGACACAGATAATACAATTCACTTGTATGCTGTAATTTTGACATATGCGCATCTGTTGCTCTAAGTCTGTACACAGAATGGCTTCCCAAATGTGGACGTGTCTTGCACTAGTTAGAAGGCAATTTATAAAAAATAGCAGGAGCAAAACTGGACTTCTGCTCCCATAAGTCACCTGTCTATAGAGTTACTACATAAGAAGATAACATGACCAAAGACAAGTTATACCAAATGTGCAAAACACATCAAAAGTGAGTTTTTTAAAGCTCAAAGTTGTTTAAATTGCACCCAAGTCTACATGATTCAAAAATAATTTTCTTGTGCCATGGCTAATATTTATTAAATACCATGTTTTATTTTTAATCAAATATTTGTATCATTGAGCTTCCTCAATATACTGTTTTTGAGTTTTCACATATATGGATACTGGCTGAGTTTTGTTGGACTCAGTGGAAATCCAGTATATGCAGGTGAGGCTGCAATGTAAGAATGTGGTGGGAAGATTGGTTTGTACTGAGTCTGATGAATGGTTGGGGATGGTAACAGACGGGGATTTATGCCCACTGGGACTTGGTGAACTATGCCACTGGGATGGGAGATATTATAAGTCGGATGCTGTAACACAGGTCTTGAGGTACATGGAGAGGCTAAGAGGTGGGCCACTGGCGCAGCACTACTCAGGGTAGCTGATGATGGGTATGGAAGTAGAGTGGGCTGTCCTCCAAGGTGTGTGTTTCCAGCCAGATGGGCACGCACCGCTGTGTGGTTGGGACTTCCGTGAGAAAGAGTGAATGGATTACTGGGAACACTAGTAGGGATATAAGCTTGCTGTCTTCGATGTCCGAAGTTTCCATTCCACTCTTGATGCCCAGATCCAAAGTGTTGAACCTACCCACAAAGAAAAAAGCAACTGAATGATGTAATTTATAAGATGAAAGGGAGAAAAGAGAAATTACAATATATGCTCCATGACTCATAGTACATCTCTCAGAACTAAGTAGAAGAGAGAAAAATACTGGTTTTAACATACCAGTATTAACATTATAATATGTATTCCTACATAATAATTCCTACATTATTATTTTTTTAAGACGGAGTCTCACTATGTCACCCTCGGCAGAGTCCCGTGGTGTCACAGGGACTCACAGCAACCTCAAACACTTGGTCTTTTTTTTTTTTTTTTTTCTTTTTTGAGACGGAGCCTCAAGCTATCCCCCTGGGTAGAGTGCCATGGCATCACGCTCACAGCAACCTCCAACTC